GTAAAAAATAAAGTAATCTATGGCAGTTATTTTTAGTAATGTTATGATTTAATTATGAGCAAACTTAATCAGTTTAAGTAAAAAATACAGCAATTTTAGTATCATTGACACGAGACAAGTATATAAATATAAATCTACAAGAAAAACAATTTGAATGAAATCAGTAAAGAATAAGAAAAAAATTTAACACGCATTAATTTCTTTTAAAAAATTAACTAATTCATAAACGCGTTTTTTTCTTTTTTTGTCTTTTAAACTATACACATTTTAAGAAAAAACGAAATATTGTAAAATTAAAATACTGTAATAATTTTTTAAACTATACCGACTGTTTCAATTACAGTGAAATTATAATTGAAATTCAAAGTAAATTTAAATTTTTCTGATGACTCCATTATTTATAGCTAGTAAATCAATTGTTGTCTAAAACTATAAATATCATTGAGCAAGAAATCTGCTTAAAACATGCATCCTTGCTTCATATATTCAATCTCTTCTATTCAGGATTCTTGCACTACGATTTGTTTCCGCTTCATCCGTTTCATGTTTTCACACAGTGTTTCAAATGGAAATCACATTTTATTCGACAGTCGAGTAGTATTATCTTCCTAGTTCTCGAGTTCATTCGGAATAAATCTAATGTTTCTCTTATAGTCATTTGTGTTTTTCTTGTGCAATGACTTTTCCTATATCCATACTATTTCTTTTTTTTTTATTTTTTGCATGTTCCCTAAGCGTTGTTTACTTGCATCGCGAAGTTTGTCTCTCTCTCTCTGAATTCCAAGATCTACTAAAATTAATTTAACTTTATATTACAATCATCTCATTATTAATTCTATTTTTCTTGTATGAAATTATATATAAAAATATGATTAAAATAATCATTTATAAGCTTAAACATTCGGTAATTATTCGATATTTATTCATCGAATTTTTATAATTTGCCAAATAAATTAAAAAATTATAAAAATATAATTTATCTTTAATTATTTTGTGTATCTTTCATTATTGTTATACTTGTTACTTTATACTTTATTGTTCTTATAAATTTCTTTATGCTCTTACATTTATTTCTGAATTTTGAATGTAATACTTTTTATTTTCAATTATTTATTTATATTAAAATTTTAATAATTATGACAATAAATTTAAAATAATGTCAAAGAAAAGACGATTAATCATCGTTTCAAATAAAATTAATTCGAAGGTAAGAACTAAGTGGCTGAACTGATGTAAAAAAGATAAGCTTTTATCTGTTCTATCGAATGCAATCATTGCATAGAAGAGTGCTTGGTTTTTTTATGTACCGGCATTCAATTAGATAGCGGTTCTAAAAAAATATCCACTATAAGAACAGAACACTTAATCTATAAAACGAACTAATCGAAACTGTGCTGCTTCTGTTTGACGTTACTCTGCTCAGATCATCTTTATAAATAAAGAAGTCCTGCATTAAAAAGTTTGTTGAAAGTAAAAATGATGTTGAAGTATTTTATCTTATAGTATAAAAGTCAATATATATAAAAAAAATTAGTTTATTATTTAGAATTTAACTACGAATAAGTTAATATAACTTAATTTTAATAATAGTCAATATAAGAGAAAAAAACTGGAAATTTTATTAAAAGTTTTACTATAAAACATAAATATCATTTTTAAAAAATATGCTGTATATATTTTTAGTTAAAACTAAAATGCATATATAAGTTTTTATTTTATTTTAATAATGAATTTTATTATAGGGAATGCTTTGTTTAATTTTGAATAATAATGAATGATTTAATAATTGTAATTATTTAGTTTATTCTTTTTTCCTATATTTTTTATATTATATATAAGAAAAACTTGCAGTTTTATTTCTTTAATCTCCCAGAAGAGATGAGAACATGTAGTGGTTTCTTAAAGCATACAGATTCTTAGAAATGTTTTGACAGAGAGTCGCAAAGGGGTAAAGATCAAAATATTAGAATATGTTTCTTTGAAGTGTAAAAATTTTTGTTGTAGTTATGTTTGGTATTGCATACACTTTTCTTTGGGAAAAGAACTACCAATAAAATTTCTTTCTCAACAATATGTTGTTTAGAGATAGTCGCTATATTTTGTATGCCAATTTTATTTTATTTTCTTGGAAACTTATATACTTTCTTTATAATTTTCAACAAAACATTAAATTTACGATGAAATGATTTAGTTTATTTATTTAATCAATTTAATAGAAATGAAATAATGGAAGTGAATTGAAGTCTATATAATATATTATATAATCAATCGATGAAAATGAATTAGATTATTGTCTGTTCTAACGGAAAATGTTCAATATGTTTATTAAATTAGAATTACATAAATTTAATTTCTTGAATTACTAATTATGGAAAGTTTGCATAATTATATTTACTGAAAGTTTTCATTATCATTAGCTTTTAGTTTTTATCATAAATTTAAAAAAAAGTCTATAAGAAAGTGTCAGAGAGATACAACGAAACCAGAGATTTAATATTGAAAAATATAAAACAGGGCAATTTAAATAAAACATTTTAAAATTTTATAAAGAAAATTTAATTTAAAAAAATAAAATTTTTCGTTTCGTTTATACTTTCTGTTATGTTTCAAAGCAACACGGAGCATACTGATTATTGACGGTCAAAGAACAACATATTTCCGTTGGTTATCTAATAATAGAAGACGAGAACAAAAAATGGAAAAGTTAAAAATCTTTCAGTTTTATTTTCCGATTTCGTCTGAGGGAAAGTAATCAACACTGTCTATTCTCTTGAAGAATTTTTCTAGATAATCTCCGATTATGAACAGCTCGATGATTCATTTGTACGTATTTAAAACACAAATCAACCAATCATCAACTAGAAAAATTTTCATTTAATTCTCATTTACGCAAATTTTATTCAGACCATTGATTACTTTTTAACAAAAGAATTATGTATATACATATTTTAATAAACATTATATTATATAGGCCTATACATAAATACAGAACAAGGCTATTACACAGAATAAGACTCTTAGATTAACTAATATGATAATTTAATTATTCTTAACATTTATAAGTATAAAAATGTGTTGAATTTAATATTTTAAAGATTTCATTTTTTTAGTCCGAAAATTATCACAATATAGGCCAAATAGTAATAACTTTTTTAAAAAAATTCCTGAAAAGTCCTCTAATATAAAACTTTAAGCATATTTCTTACTTTCTCTGAAATGATAAATGTGGAGTAATATAAGTAATTAAATAAAACTATTAACGATTGAATTAATTAATATAATAAACTACTAAAACAGTTCACCAATTTAAATTTTTACAACTATTTTTGATATATTTATGAGATTTCGAAAGCAAAACATGTCTATAAATTTACATTAAACAGAAGGGAATGTGACTTGAGGATATATTACGGGACTTATCTAAATACTCTTTAAAGTAAAAATTGCTTCACATAAATACCACTTATTTTTAAATAATTTTACTGTCATACATTATATATTGTTATTTACAGATCCGGAGATTCAACAATATTTCCGCGTAAGACCTCAAGACCGAGAGGTTAAGGAGGGTGAGACTTTAGAATTTCCTTGCCAAATAGGCCATTTGGCTGGTGAAGTACAATGGAGTAAAGATGGATTTTTATTAGGTAAGTAATATACAGTAATTATATTTTATGCTTATTAATAATAAAAAATTAATTTTCATCAAGGTTAATTAAATATATTAAATTTCTTTATGCTCTTACATTTATTTCTGAATTTTGAATGTAATACTTTTTATTTTCAATTATTTATTTATATTAAAATTTTAATAATTATGACAATAAATTTAAAATAATGTCAAAGAAAAGACGATTAATCATCGTTTCAAATAAAATTAATTCGAAGGTAAGAACTAAGAGGCTGAACTGATGTAAAAAAGATAAGCTTTTATCTGTTCTATCGAATGCAATCATTGCATAGAAGAGTGCTTGGTTTTTTTATGTACCGGCATTCAATTAGATAGCGGTTCTAAAAAAATATCCACTATAAGAACAGAACACTTAATCTATAAAACGAACTAATCGAAACTGTGCTGCTTCTGTTTGACGTTACTCTGCTCAGATCATCTTTATAAATAAAGAAGTCCTGCATTAAAAAGTTTGTTGAAAGTAAAAATGATGTTGAAGTATTTTATCTTATAGTATAAAAGTCAATATATATAAAAAAAATTAGTTTATTATTTAGAATTTAACTACGAATAAGTTAATATAACTTAATTTTAATAATAGTCAATATAAGAGAAAAAAACTGGAAATTTTATTAAAAGTTTTACTATAAAACATAAATATCATTTTTAAAAAATATGCTGTATATATTTTTAGTTAAAACTAAAATGCATATATAAGTTTTTATTTTATTTTAATAATGAATTTTATTATAGGGAATGCTTTGTTTAATTTTGAATAATAATGAATGATTTAATAATTGTAATTATTTAGTTTATTCTTTTTTCCTATATTTTTTATATTATATATAAGAAAAACTTGCAGTTTTATTTCTTTAATCTCCCAGAAGAGATGAGAACATGTAGTGGTTTCTTAAAGCATACAGATTCTTAGAAATGTTTTGACAGAGAGTCGCAAAGGGGTAAAGATCAAAATATTAGAATATGTTTCTTTGAAGTGTAAAAATTTTTGTTGTAGTTATGTTTGGTATTGCATACACTTTTCTTTGGGAAAAGAACTACCAATAAAATTTCTTTCTCAACAATATGTTGTTTAGAGATAGTCGCTATATTTTGTATGCCAATTTTATTTTATTTTCTTGGAAACTTATATACTTTCTTTATAATTTTCAACAAAACATTAAATTTACGATGAAATGATTTAGTTTATTTATTTAATCAATTTAATAGAAATGAAATAATGGAAGTGAATTGAAGTCTATATAATATATTATATAATCAATCGATGAAAATGAATTAGATTATTGTCTGTTCTAACGGAAAATGTTCAATATGTTTATTAAATTAGAATTACATAAATTTAATTTCTTGAATTACTAATTATGGAAAGTTTGCATAATTATATTTACTGAAAGTTTTCATTATCATTAGCTTTTAGTTTTTATCATAAATTTAAAAAAAAGTCTATAAGAAAGTGTCAGAGAGATACAACGAAACCAGAGATTTAATATTGAAAAATATAAAACAGGGCAATTTAAATAAAACATTTTAAAATTTTATAAAGAAAATTTAATTTAAAAAAATAAAATTTTTCGTTTCGTTTATACTTTCTGTTATGTTTCCGAGCAACACGGAGCATACTGATTATTGACGGTCAAAGAACAACATATTTCCGTTGGTTATCTAATAATAGAAGACGAGAACAAAAAATGGAAAAGTTAAAAATCTTTCAGTTTTATTTTCNAAAACTGTGAAGAATTATATAGAATTATGAGATAAAAAGTCCTTTCATGTCTTAAATCATTTTATAATAAAGTTTAGGTAAAATTTTTAGTTAACATGAATATGAATATGATATGACATATGTATTTATTTTAGAAGATATGTATGTTTAAATTCAAGTAAATGATTTAAAGTAATCAATATTATATGTGACTCTATGACATATGAGTTTATGCATATAATATAATATTCTACATGTATTATGTAATTTGTTAATATACACACTATAATATAAGGACATTAAAATAATTTTATTAACTTCCAAAAAGAAAGCGAAAAGATCAAAATAAAAGAAATTCTTCTAAAAAATATTTAGGTAAAATTACGGAAGCATAATAAAAATATTTAAAAAGAAAAAAATTTTGTTAAGGCAGTTTACTCTTTTTTTGTATCTGTTAAGATTATCTTTAACGTTCAATAGAATGATCTTAATGCTATATTGAATCATCATTCAGGTAGTGAAGTCGATCGAATTTTTGCATAAAAGTTATTGTACTTTCTGTATACGGTGAACGGATAGCTTAAATAACCATTGGAGTTCTCTCCACTTGAAAAGGTTTATATAAATATATCTAACCTAAATATAAAATATATGCTCGATTGAGTATATCGTATGGAAGTTATTGATCAACAGATAATGGAAAAAATTTAATATAAAGTAGACACGTTTAAAAGCTTTTTATCGTTTCAGCTCCCCGCAGTTCCAATTATATCGATTAATTTTTAATTTTATATTGAGAAGAACATTAATATCATAATGTTTACATTTATTTGCAAGGATTTTTGAAATAAAAAGAATAAATTAAGAGACTTAACAATTGAAAGTCTTATCTTAATTTAAAGTTGCATTTAATTAGTTTATTTAGAATTATTTTAAAAATCTTACAAGTTAGTAGAAAATCGCGTTTTAAATAATGCTTAAATTTAAATTATTGGTAATTTTTTAATAATATTCTATATTAATATGATCGTAACAATGTAAATGTTGAATTAATAATAGTTTCTTTAAATATAATTCACTCTCTATAAACAACATTTATAATTATAATCACGTTTTAAATAATAAAATTCGTATTTTTAAGTATTTTTATTGGTTTTATACATTAATTTATGTAATATCTTTATCATAAAATTAAATTAATTGATCAATCATGTTAATAATTTTCGGAATATTATTCTATTCTCTTTAATGTCGTACGAAATGCTAATTTAACTCTTGCTTGATAAATCATGATCAATTTAACGCTACGTTTAAATAAACTAAGCACATAAAGTACTTTACATTTGTCCTATAATATTGCAAATTATTTCATATTGACACAGATTTAAAATCTTTAATAATATAATATAAAATAATTTAATAACTATTCTAAATAATTATAAAAAAATTTTTTAAATTAATTATACTTATAGAAAAAGAGTGATTAGATCAATGAATTTGTCAATTAATTTACATATTAAAATTATTTTAAATGTGATTAAAACCGTGAGAATTGTATAAAATTATAGAATTAAGCGAAAAACTTCTTATATGCTCTAAATTATGTTACTAATATATAAATTTTGGCAAGAAAGATATGATTTATTAGCTTGTTTCTTGCTATCCAAAATAATTTATATAAATTTGACAAATTAATAGCACATAATATTATGATTTTATGTTTATTAAGCAAGCTTTAGACATGATTATGTAATGAATAAATTCAGAAAAAGAGAGACTTTATCACAATTAAGGACAATGCTATTATCTTGGCAACAATCCACTGCATGTTATGTACTATGTGAGAAATTTTTCTGTTAGATATTTAACATTCTTCCAACAGAATGTGTTTGTGACATTGAAATTAAGGAGAAAATACCAAACATTTCACTAGTCTCATGAAATTACGCGAGGCATCCTTAATGCGAAGCAGTAAAGACTGACCAACCAAATTCAACTAACCAAAAGCGTGAAAAGTTTCAGAACTTTCTAATTTGTTCTTCAAATTTTGTGTTAAATTTTATGAAGCGACCGAAGAAGAAAAACGTGTTCATTATAAAAAGTGATAAAAGTGTAGCATTTTATAATGAACACAATATATATGTGTGTGAAGGTAATTGAAATGGTTTATTTTAAGTAATTATTTTGAAAAAATTATATTTATTCCATCATCATCTATGGCAATCACTAGATTTCGAGTCAATTGTAACACACTCTTGGGAAATTAATTGTGATAGTTTAAAAGTTTTTGTAGCATACCAGTTTATCATTAGTAGCCTGGAGGTACTTCTTTTGTTAAAGTTTCGAAAAGGTTCAAGCACGGCTTTTTTATATAAAGCTACTTCATTTTATTTATTTTTTATAAGGAAAAAACATTAAATTTAAATTTTAAGAATGTTGTTGAAATTCTTTTTGAAGATATTTAAAACATTATTATTGTTACCAAAAGAATAATACACAAGAAAATCTCAGAAGCTGTTAAGTTTATTAGTGTAATATCAATTAAAAATGTAATTAATCATAGTTATTATACAATTAAGTTTTATTTATAAGTTTTAAAAAGTTTTTTTATTTCATAATGATAAAAATTAAAAAAAAGTACGTAAGTTAAGAGAACTTAATCAGCCGTAACGTTATTTCTTTCATTTTCATTTTTTAATGATTGCCGAATGGAAGTAATTTATCATAGAAATCTTAAAAATTTTAATTTTTTATAGTAATATTATTTAACTTATAAATTATTAGTGTAGCATAAATTTAGAATGATTAGAATATTATCGTAAATTCGAAGTTATAGTGTTTTTGAAATTAAATTTAAAGGAATTCATGTTGAATGAATTCCTTTAAACTTCGAAGAATAGATAATTAAACAAAAATCAGTTTTTATATAAAACGGAGAAGAACAAGAAGAGAAAAAAAACCTCCAGATTTCCATATAATAGCATAAAGCTTCAAATGTTTGAAATTTATTGACATGTTGAATTTTGAGTAAATAAGAGAAACCTTAAATGAAAGTGATATGAGTTTAGTTCACGGTATATGAAGATAAATTGTCTTAACAGTAACTAGAGAAGCGGAGTGTGCTTGCAGCCATAATAATATCGCTAGATCGAGGGCAAACTCAGTATGATGTGAGTTGGAGAGAATCAATACTTATAATAAAGTGTTTTCCGAGTTTATGTTTGAAACAATTTATCTTTTGATTGAAATGATTTTAA